GTACTAATTTCCATTGAATAATTATTAAGGGATTAATCACAATTCATCTTTCTACATGGTATCAGAGCGGGTTCGTTTCTAACCTAGCTAATACACGGCTGAATCAGCCACGCATGACAGGGGCTCCATGACCTCTGATTCAGAAGCTGAAGTCACGCCTACCATGAACACAGGAGGGATCGAAAACTCAACTTTCCAACTCTCTCTAGAGAAATTGAATGGGAAGAACTACAGAGAGTGGGCACAGTCGATAAAGCTAATAATCGATGGAAAATGAAAACTTGGATACTTAATTGGTGAAACCAGGATGCCGGCCTCAACCAACGTGGCTCTTCTACAGAAGTGGAAATCAAAGAATTCGATGGTGACTGTCTGGCTTGTCAATTCCATGAAGCCTGCCATCGGGAGAACATACCTATTTCTTCCGACTGCAAAGGATGTTTGGGAGGCGGTGAAAGAGATGTATTCAGATTCCGAGAATTTTTCAAGAATTTTCAAATTAAAAACGAAATTGTGGCAATCAAAACAAGGAGATCGAGATGTAACGGAGTATTACCTGGAGATGACCGGATTATGGCAGGAATTAGATCAGAGTTCAGAGGAGGAATGGAAGTGTGCCGAAGACAACGTACAGTATAGGAAGAAGCTGGAAACAGAACGAGTCTTTGAATTTCTCGCAGGTCTTCATCGCGATCTTGACGAGGTTCGCGGCCGGATACTTGGCCGACGACCTCTACCTACGTCACGGGAAGTTTTTTCGGAAGTCAGACGGGAAGAAGACCGACGAAAGGTCATGTAGACCAAATCGGGCTTGCCGGCGGTGGAGATCTCTGGCTTGATCTCTAACAAAAATGGGCTTTCTACCTATGGGCTGAAATATAAGGAGGCGGGCCCTATTAATGGGCCAACTAATGGAAATAATGGATCAGCTAGGTTTAATAGTGGGCTGGACTTGAATAATGGCCCAAACAACTCAAATGATGGGCTTTGGATGATGGGCTTACATTCTAAAGGAGGCACAGCTCGGCCGGGTCCAAAATCCCGAGGTCGACCTTGGTGTGAGCATTGTCGAAAGCCAGGGCACAAAGAAGATACTTCTTCCCTTAATAATTATTCAATGAAAATTAGTACAATATATAATTTACAGGAATTGGTAAATGAGGAAATAAACCTA